TCACAGCCGTTCTTCCACTGTTCTCACAGCCGTTCTTCCACTGTCCTCTCAGCCGTTCTTCCACTGTTCTCACAGTCGTTCTTCCACTGTTCTCGTGGTTTTTGAAACCGTATTTTTTTCTCAGTGAACTTTGAACTGCTCTGGGTCTCAGTGTTTTATGTTTTTATTGCTGCAGCAGACGGACTTCCTTGATCAAAGGTCATGAAACAGTGACTAGTGTAAAATGTGTCGCTGAAGGTCACAGAGTTTATTTTTAAAAATTAATTTTAATAAAGAAAAAAAAAAGAAAAACCTGTTGAGAGAGGAGGAGAACCTTTAGAACAACAATGTTTGAAATGTAAATGAATGCAAATGTCTGGGAGAGTTTGTCTGTTGAAATTCACTGTATAATATTTAAAGTCAAGAAGCAGAAAAAAGTTTTGGTCTCGATAGAAATTGAATTGTTTTTTTTCCTCTATCCCAGAATGAGCATTTTTACATATGGGCTGCTGTTATTGACCTGTGTGTTTCTGCAGGACAAAAGTCAAGTAAAGGTGAAACAACTCTATTTATTCCTTCAGGAAATATTCACAGCCTCCAGTCACACACACACACACACACAATAAGATAAAGACACGGACACCAGCTCATCCAAAAAAAGAAAAAACCAAACAATTTAATAATAACAAGTCTCGACCCCTGCGTTCCAGCCATTTTCATCATCGTTTTTTAAAGTCTGAAAACTTCATGGATTTGAGTGTTTGTCTTTCTTCAGTGAGGGAATGCCATCCTCAAACAGAATTCCTGCCTAAGAATGTGGCCCGGTGATCAATAATCTGTCTGCCGTTCATGATCATCCAGAACCTCCACAGCCACCATGAGATAATTCACCCTCAGTGTAGCTGTAGAAGAATAAACATCATCATCTACTGTACATCTACATATCCTGTTTTAGCTGGTTGCCTTCAGGCCAAACACCAAATAAGTAGTTCACCGAGAGCTAACGCTCATCCACGTGATGATAGGTGGGAAGAAAAATCAACAGGTCCGATTGTTTACTAGTGTTTACTTTTGGTCAAATTTATATTTGTGCGGTTGGTTTCTGTTCACGAAGGAATTAAAAATGTCTGTTAATGGAATCATGTTCTGATCTTAAGAAAATAACAAAAATGTGGAGTTAGCTCATGTTCTGGTCTTACTTAAGAAAATAACAAAAATGTGGAGTTTAGTTTTTGATTAAGTTTTGACTTAAGTTTTTTTTTTTTTTTTTTCAGATTCGCTTCCTGTTGCTGTTCAGCCGACAGGGGAAGCTGCGCCTGCAGAAATGGTTCCTACCAATCACAGAGCGGGAGAAGAAGAAAGTGATCCGTGAAATGATGATGTTGGTGTTGGCTCGCCAACCGCGGTCCTGCAACTTCCTGCACTGGAGGGACGTCAAGGTTGTTTACAAGAGGTTTGTCCGCAGTCTTCAGTTATGTTGTTGTTGATATTTAGTAGTTGATTAGTAAGGGTTCATATTTTTTCTAGAACGTTCAGTCTGTCGTTTGCAGGTACGCCAGCTTATACTTCTGTGCTGCAGTAGAACAACAGGACAATGAGCTGTTGGCTCTGGAGGTGCTGCACAGATACGTGGAGCTGTTGGATAAATACTTTGGAAACGTGAGTATGTGAGTAACACATGAAATAAATGACATGGTTTATATACAGTATTTTCTTGTTGTTGTGAGAAATGTTAAAAACATCCAAACACAGTATTCAACAGTGTTTTTTTTCACAATTGTGAGAAATGTTAAAAACATCCAAACAAAGTCCAAAAAAAGGTTTAATTCTTTATTAAAAAAACACTGAGTTTGCAAAGCTGACATCATCAGTTCCATTTTTGGTAATAGTTTGCGTTTAACTTTAAAACAGACAAAAACTATTCTCCATCCTGTTAATATTTAATTAAAATTAAAGTAATTAAGTCAAATAAATGTATTATATTTAGAATCAAGGTTAAAACGAAACAATGAAAATAACATTTATTATTTTATAATTTATTTTATAATTTTCAATCCTTACTGTGGCTGTAGTTGTTTGTGATTGTGAAACATCCAGATGTGTGGTCTTTTTAATTAGACTCCCCCTGGTGTTCACATGATGCCACTGCTTTAAAAACCTCAAGATTTTATATTCTTGAAATTACAACTTTCTAAGGATGTGTAACCTTGTGTAACAAAGTTGTGTTGCGTTGTTGTTTCTGCGTACGTCAGGTGTGTGAGTTGGACATTATTTTCAACTTTGAGAAGGCCTACTTCATCCTTGACGAATTCCTGATGGGAGGAGAAATCTTGGAAACATCTAAGGTGTCTGTGGGCGTATCTATGGAGGAGGCCGACACGCTGCAGGAGGTAGTGTATCATCATCTTCAGGTCAGCGTGGGTTGTAAGATCAACCTGTTGATGTTCCTCACTCTCCCATCAGCAGACGATGGAGGAGTACATGAGCAAACCTGCCTACTGAGCCTCCTGGGAGAGCGTGGACATTTCAAGGCTTCGGCCAGAACCATGACTGCAAACGACCAGACTGAAGAACTGTGTGGCTCTTGAAGTGCCTTTGAGCCTCAGGTTGACGGCTCAGATCCGGAGGCTGGAGGAAGTGAAGCTGTGTTTGAATGAAGAAACACTGCGCAGTAAGGAAAAATAAAGTCAATGCTTTATTAACCTCAGGTATGTCACTTACTGTATGACAACATTCAAGGAAAGATTTACATAAAAATAATGCAACACTGATTTTTGGATGTGTGTGTGTGTGTGTTGAAATGTAAGGCTGGTGAGTCACATGTACGGTCGTCAGCTGCTGAGCAACGATTTTTTTTTTTTTAATTTAAAAAAACAAGCATCAAAAGAAAGAAAGATAAATGTTTGACCACTTACATTTCTGCTAATAAATACCAATGTAAACTACATCATAACTCAATGTTGATTTTTCTCACTCCATCCATGTACATACATATATGAACTAGAACAAAAACAAAGACCACCCTGGTTTTTCTTCTCCCTTTAATCTGCAGGTGAGCTGAATGGCAACCTTCTCATTTCAGTGCAGGTACTTTTTTTGTTTGTTTTAATCTTCTACTTTGAACAGTTGAAGTTGTAGTTTTCCTGGATCTGTATTTTTTTATATTGTGATTTAGGCTATAGGAATTGAAAAATATATATTTATAAATATTGTTTGTTGCTGATGGAACTTCTTCTTTTGCCGTGGTCTTTTGTTTTTCTTCCTGCATATATACACATACATCACTCGTGTTTTTCCCCCACCCTATCCTTGTACAGTTTTGGCATCATCACTATTTTCCTCTGTTGTTTCCGGGCTCAGATAACTCAACAGTTTAATCACCGCCTCGTTTTCGAAGCTCCCCTCAGGCTCAGACTGTCTCTTTTCATTTTGCCTTTGATCTCCAGTGTCCATGTGATCAAAATAATTCTGTATGAGCTGTTCAAAGGAGCCGGCGTCATCTCGCTTTTGGCCTCTGGCCCTGTACGTGGGCCTCAGATATTGTGTCGGCAACTTAGCTGCCAAATACGCTGCCAGCTCGTCCTCGTCCAGAGCGTTGTCGTAGCGACTCTTTAATGTTGTGGGAAAGCGCCTCAGTGTGGATTCCCCCGGACGCCCCGCAGGCTGAGTGTGAAGTCGTGACAGCGAGCCTCTGTACGGCGTCTTCTCTCTGACGGGAGCTCGATCGGCGGCGCCGTCGAACCCCAGGATTTTGAGAATTTCCTCCGTCCTCAGCTGCTCTGGGGATTTCTGGCCGTAGGGCAGACGCCTGCCGTAGAAACTCGCCTCTGGGATCTTGTGCACGTTCTTTGAGGGGATCTGAGTGAACCTGTTAGGAACTCTGGACAATTTGTTCGTCTTCTGCAGACGACCCTGGTTCCGTATTTGTCCAGCTTTCAGCATGTTCATCACGTCCTCAGGTGGAATCTTGTACTTCTGGGAGAACTTGATAATCTGATAGAGGTTCTGTGGTAGGATATTGTCTCTGTACAGCGTCTGAGGAGCTCTCCTCTCCGCTCTCTCCTTTTCTTCCTCCTCCTCCTCTTCTTCTTCCACCAGCTCTCGTTTCTGCTCCTCTTCAGTTTTCTCCAACACTTTCAGAAGGTAATAGTCCACGAGGTTGGCTGCGTCATCTGGATCCTTTGACCTCTTGACTGGATAACCTTCATCCTCCTCTTCCTCAGCGTTCTCCGTCTCATCCTTGTCATTGTCCACGTAGTCAAAGTCTTGATCCACGTCCCGTTTGTCGTTCTCCTCTTCTTCATCGTCTTTCCCTTCCTGGTCTCGAAGCAAACCCCAGTCCAGAGGCAGATCTCTGTCCACGTCATCGTACGCCGCGTTCCTCACGTTAAACATTTCCTCCTCTTCCTCTTCCCCGCCCTCGGGGTCATCCTCCTCGTCCAGACGTTTGCTCATGGTCCTCACACTGGTCAGCCTGTCCAGTTCGTCGAACACCGACTGCAGCGTGGCCAGATTCTGAGGAGTGTACTTCTCCTCCACATTCTCATTGGTGCGTTTGAGGTGACTCTCGTGTTTTGAACCCAGTCCCTCGCCCTCCTCCTCCTCTCCTGCCCCACCCTGCTCTTCCTCCTCCTCCTCATCCTCAAACATGAGGGGCAGTTTCTTGTGCAGTGGAATACTGTGCTGCTTCTGCTGCCTCCTTGGATACTCGCTGTCTTTGGGCCCCTCTTCCTCCGCTGTGGGGCGAAGGGAAACCGGCGGCGAGGCCTTGTCCGCCTGCTGCAGCGTGCTGAGCACGGCCTGGAGCAGCTCCTCGCTCTTGTCCTCCTTTCCTTCTTCCTCATCCTCCTCGTGCTCCTTGTCCTCGTCCGTGCCCTGCATGGGGGTGGATGCGAGTCTTATAAGTGCACGCAGCCTCTCGGCGTCGTCAGTGTCACTGCCATCCCTGTCTGTAGAGTGTGGGCTGTGCTGCTGGGGCTCGGTGCCCGTCTTCTGACGCAGGCTCTGGATGTACTCCAGGGCCTTCATCATGTCCACATTAGGGGCCGGTTGGACACGCGTTCCTCTCTGGAAGCCAGATTCGCTTCCCCAAACTTTGTCTTCTACCAGCGATGCCCCATGAACACAAGAGGAAGTGAGGAAGAGGAGGACGAAAAGCAGTTTGGAAAAACAGAGCAGGACCAGTTTGCTGGAGGTGGAGGTGTCCAGGAGTGGCATCATGGTGACACCTGTTGACCAAAGACAGAGATACATGTTACTGCTGACCTTTACCGTGGTAAGAACAGCGTCTCAGCGGTAACCGCTCTGACTTCTGCTCTTTTCATGATGGTTAAAGCTCTGGAGGGAAGAATCACAGCTTCTCTTCCAAGACACATTTTCAAGTTCCCATCGTCTTGAAGTTTGAACTTTCATTTGTAACTAAGGGCTAAAAGCCAGTCTCTTATCACCAAAACTGAAACAGCTCAGGAAGTGGCTTTCCTGTTCAGTGGAAAGGCCAACAGTGACACCTCTCCCTTTATGTCACTTTATGTCTTTACTCAGTGTTTTAAGGAGGAAATGATTCTGATAAGACAGAACTTGATGCTTTTATCACAAAATGGTTACCAAATCAATATTTCCAGCCACACAGCTCTATCAAAAGCAATTTGCAGTGCAATTAACAGCGGTAATTACTGGTGGCCGGAGGTTTCGCATTTTAAATCTGCAAGTGAGAAACAAACAGACAGAAGAGGCTCAGATCAACAAGTGGCTGCTAACGAAGACTTGCATTATTAAGTTACTTCAAGACAAAGCTGGAAAAAATAAACAATATATAAATAATATTATTTATTATAGTAAACTTTCATACACAGATGATGAGAACCTGGCAAAAGGAAAAATGTTATAATAATAATATATGTTTTTTTTCCCACAGATAATACGTTGATGATAATAATAATAATACAATAATAAAATAATATGTTATGGTTATTATTCTTATTATTAAAATTATTATTATCATCATCTGCCTCTGCTGTTTGTCCACAGCAGTTCCAGCAGCAGCAAACAGTTACTGTGAAAATCTCATTAGGCGTCAAATTGCCGCTTGCCGTGAGTCACGGCCCCGTTGTCATGGCAACCCGACGGAGCCGATATCTTTTTTTTTTTGCAAATAGTATTCATTTCCAACACAAATATTATATTAATTTTAATTTTTTTTTGCAAATAGTACTCATTTCCAACACAAATATTATATTAATGTGTGTGCAAATGAATCCAAGCTTGTAGTTTGTCGGACCAATAGATGCTGTAATATATTATAGACAGACAGACAGCGTGTGTGCAAATGAATTCAAGTTTGTAGTTTGTCGGACCAGTAGATTCTGTAATATATTATAGACAGACAGACAGACAGACAGATAGACAGATAGATAGATAGATAGATAGATAGATTAAATTAAACTTTGGTGATAACGACACAACTGATAATTTTACTCTATCCGTGTGTCAGGAAACACAAAACATAAAAAGCCAAACGAACATTAAGCGTTTGGAGAACAAAGAGTCGCGACGTCAGCAGCGGAGGAGAACGCAACCTCCTCGACTCCGCTGACATCAGAGGAGGTGCATCAGGTTGGTAAACAGCGACTGGAAACAGCTGAAGTGGCTGAAAAAGCAAACCGGGGAAAACCCCCCGAGTGCACAGCCTCCTCGGTGTGACAGCGCGTTCCCAGTGTGGTTAATGTGATCCAGTACAACCAGGTCTTACCTTTGTGATGAGTTCCTGTGGAGAGTTTAAGAAGAGCAGCGGCAGCAAGAGCGGAGGAGAGAGCTGAGCATGTCTCTGCCTGTCAGTGGAGGAGAGGGTGTTTTCAGCACCGCGGACAGCTCCGTGCGCTATAAGAGGAAGCACCTGACTCATGCGTCAGAGATCGTGAGGACTCTCTCTCTCTCTCCCTCTCTCTCTCTCTCTCTCACACACACACACACACACTCACCAGTTTGCTGGTGCAGCTGTTACTACACACACCACTGAACTGTGTGTTCCTTTATAAACATATATAAAAACCTTTAAACCTGACCTTCATTAAACATAAACATAATTCACATCTTAAACGGCGCCCCCTTCCGACCTCCAGAGGAGGAGCCGGATTTTAATTTCCAATTAGAGCAACTGTTGCTGAGGTGGTGTTTATACTAGATTAGTGACAAAAAAAGGCGCGCGCGCGCAGACACACACGCACACGCGCAGAGTGGTATGAGTCACACCACAACAAAAGTGCTGACAAATTTTGGAGACAAGACTGGAGGTTTATTTTCACAACTCTAATTGAAATGGATGGATGTTTATATTTAGCAGCTGTGACGTACGACTCACATCTCACTGATGGAAAGTCAAGTGATAAATATATTTATTTTTGCTGCATATCCACCTGTTCAACGCAAGTTTGGGGGTTTATTTTGTGTCCATTTTAACAGTGTCATTGTTATCATTATTATTATTATTTTTAATAGCAGCAGTCGCACAGTAAATGTTGACCAGCCTTTGTCTCTTGGTGATTTGTGTTTGTATTTCTGCTGCAGTGCTGTCTGAGGGACAGGGAGAGGGAGACAGCTGAAGTCCACTGATGACTCACACATGGACCTTACCAAAGAAGGGTGGGGTGATGGAGGGAGGGACTGCAGTGTGTGTGTGTGTGAAAGAGAGAGAGAGAGAGAGAGAGAGAGAGAGAGAGCATTCACATTAGCGCTCAGCCAAACTCTGTCTTGTGTTTATGCCTCTCTGTCAGTCTGCTGAAGAATGGATCAGTGGGTTTGTGTGTATTTCCCTGTTTTCATTCACAAACTCCACGTCTCTGTATTTTAAATGAGCCTCTGTTGTGATCCACTGTTCCGTCTGATCCACATTGGCTCAATGTAGTTTCCATGTTGTTATGAAAACGTTGGGTATTTTTGTTACGTTGACAGTAAATGACCTGTAAACATAACCTGAATGAGGTTTGAAGGCGTACACAAAGGTTTGTTTGTCTTGTTATAAAAGGTGAAGAAGAAAGCTCTTACATAAAAACACTCTGCTCTGTGACATTTATAAGATACATTTACAAAATATTTCATATTTTTCGGTTTCATCATACGTTTCTGAAAGCCTGCGGTGTGAAAGGACAGATAAAAACAAATCCACCTTTATAACAGTGGTGTGGCCGAAGATGTTTCAGCAGCGGGAACGACACAAAAGAACTGAATGTTGATCTCACACGTCCATCTGACTAATAACCACATCTGTCTCTTATGACAAAAGAACACACACCTACACACAGACACACACACTCTGTCAGTTTTGTACTGATAAAGCCCGAGCTGTCGGACTAATTGCTTGTGGTTGTGCATGTGTGGCAGGATTACTCGCAAACAGAAACCAATTACAGCTCAGCTCCACCCCCATTTCTACTGCCTGTCCACTGAAACACACACATCCAGACACACACACACACACAATCTGTTTCCCACAGGTCACATCAGAAGTTTCTTTGTAGCCTTTTATTTCTTCTTTTTCTCTCACACGAGGGTTTCCAGAGGAGTTTGTGTCAAGTGTAAGGGGATAAATGAAGGTTTTTTTGTTTGTTTTTTTTGCCCTGACAGGAGGTGTAACGTCAGGTCACAGCCCTGACCAGATGCCACACCAACCACATTCAATGAATAAATTAACACAGTTTCCACCCACTGGTCATTTAGGAAATAAAAACATGGCCGCTCGCTTTGTCACTTGACAAAATTGTTTTTCATTGAAATGCAAAAGAGCAAAAACAATGATGGTCAGTTACCAGCGTTAGAACCAAGGGTAGAAACTGCTGCTGAATGTGCTTTGTTGTCAGTGTTTGTCATTAGTAACCGCGACGACACTGGGACCAAAGTACGTATCGTAAAACAGGATGTGAAATATGTGAATGTGAAATAAATAAAACGTTCCTTCAGACTTTTTCATAAAGAAGGCCATAAATCAAACCATGTCCAGTTTCCTGCATCTGAGATCATCCGAAAAACAAACCAAAACAACCAAAAACAAAGTTTGTTTTGGATGAAAACAAATGATCCAAAGTTGAAAAACCAGTGTCTGGTTACACGATTCCATCAGTGTTACATCAGGGCGTGTATGTGTGTGTGTGTGTGTGTGTGTGTGTGTCAGCCCCATGTGGGTACAAGTTACATGAGTGCATGAAAGTGTTCTGAGCATTCACACACCTCAACCCTGAGCATCACTTCCTGTCTGTGTGTCTGTCCCTGGGTGACTGATAATGTTGCTCTTTAATTCTGGTTATCAGATAGTTGGCAGAGAGAGAGAGAGAGAGAGAGAGAGGGCATGAGGGAGAGAGAGAGAGAGAATGTGAAAGCTAAAGGTTATGAATAGATTTCAGGTTTGACGTCAGTCTTGTCTCACTTCTCTTTTCACTGGTCGATTTTCTCTCTCTCTCTCTCTCTCTCTCTCTGTGTGTGTGTGTGGCTGTGAGGAAATAAATAGGTGTGTGTGATGCATCTGGCATTTTGTTAAATTTAAGATCAGATTAATTTCTCTGTGGAGTGGGCGCATAAACACAATGTTCCCCCATCACATCTCCATCTGTTTTCTCTAATTAATGAAGGGTTTTTCTCCCAGTCTTTGTGTCGACGGTTTGGACTGACAGGAATCAGAGAAAGAGAGAGAGGAGGGAGAAAATAAAAATGCCAACAAAATCACATTGGTGACATTTATTTATTAAAATTTGATTTGATTCTGTAACCTGTTTGTAATATTTACGTTCTACTTTGGGGCTCCTGTGTTTTTTTCTAATGCATATATTCACAGCAGGATGACTCATCCTGGTCACCCCACTGATGCTTTGTGAGGAAGACGCTGCAGACACAATCAGTCCACTCTGGCTGTTTATAAAAATCAAAATGAGAGTGGGACGACCTCCGGCACGCATGGATAATCAAAGCAGGAAGTGATTTAAAGTTTAAATTAAAATGTACAACTGTAATCCAAGAGAATACACTCAAGTTGCAATGTTAAAATATCATTATCAGTGCAATGCAACACACACTGGTTCAAAATATTATGATCTTATACATTTAGTTGTTTTTGTGCATTTCCCTCAATGGATACAGGTTTGAAAACAAGCCTTTTATTCTCATTAATATCTTTAATATCATTAATATCTATCTATAAAAATAGCATTAAATAAACAATTAGACAAAATTAAAAACATTAAAACATCATTTTTATTATTGTTGATTTCTTATCAGCTTCATCAGTGAGGTCACAGACACACACACACACACTACAACAGTGGAAGAGCATAGGTGTAGCCAAAAAAACACAGAATTGCCCTTTTTTCCTTAAACAGGAAGGAAGTAGAGGGAAGACAATTAGTGAAACACACAAGAGGCAAGAGAAGAAGGAAGTGTGGAAAACTGAAGAAATGTGCAGCAGAAATTGAGAAAAAAAGAAGAAAAAAGAACAAGAAAAAAAAGAAGAAGTAGAAGAAGAAGAAGAAGAACATTGTGGAAGCAGAATTTCAGAGAACAATTTAAGGATTTAAGGAACAAACAATTTAAGGAACAGAGTCTACAGAACCTGTTGGGATCCTGAGCCTAAATTCAGATAAGTCTTATTTTTTTTCCCTCTTAATTCTTTCTGGTTTTGTGCTGCCATTTTCACTCAGGCTGATCTGTTGGTGATCAGATGTGTCTACAGTAGGGTGTACATGTGTATATATGACGGAGAGATTTAAAAAGATATTTATATTTCTAGAGGTTTTTGATTGAACTACAACTTGTCTCCAACAGCCTTGAGAAGTTCAATCTTTCAGCAAGTTGGTTAAAGGGACTGAAACTGATTTTGATTTACCGCTGCCTGATGTTCTCTGGTGTTGTTGACTGATGTTGTTGAACATTTGTAAAAAAAAAACGTTCTCAGATGAGAAGGAAAGTCTGTGACTTGTTGCCAAAGATGTTCCCAGTGGTGCAGTGTCAGGTTTCCTGTACGGCAAGCAGAAAGGTCTGGGTTGGATCCCATCTAGTCCCAGGTTGTATGTATATATGTATATGTATAAATATTGACATATATATATGTGTGTATATATGTAAATATATATGTATATACAGTATATATGTATGTTTATGTGTATGTATATATGTATGTATTATGACAGAAAAATGGCCCATTGTGATAACTTAAATATTTATAGAGTGAAGTTAGGACATTAGCGCCCTCTCTGGTGAACGATATGACTTGCTGTTTGTCAGGCGCCTGGGCTTCACTATTCATTTATCAACTTCTTCGGTGATGTCACAGCAGCATGGTTTAATCAATGTAATGGTGCAACTACGAATGATCTCCTTCTCCACTGTTAGCACACCTTCAGTTCTGTTCTCCTTCCGTCTCCGTCTCATGTTAGTCGACAAATCAAACGCTCCAGTTAGACTTAAAAACCCAATGATTTTCCAGCGTTTCCATATTCCGGCCTTTGATCTGCCTCTGTTTTAATGTCACAGAGTGCACGCTGTGGGCACATTAGGGAATATTTGTTGTTTTCATCTGGTGAAAGACAAAAATAAACCTGTCACTCCCCCCTGTCCCTGCCTCTCTCTCTCTCCTGTGCCCCCCCCCGATGAGCTTCTCTTAGAAACAGCCTCTCTCTGCTGTGACACATGAGGACGCAGCAGGGACGCTTGTACTAGAGCTGGGAGGGAGGTTGGGGTTGGGGGGGGGGTGTTTTTTTTTCAAGAATCTCATGTTGTTCTAAAACTGTACCATATTACTATATAAACTATATGAGTGAGTTTTTCTCACCTCCAAACCAGGAAACAGTGACTTGTTAAGATTATCCGGATGAAAGTTTACAAAAATGTGTATCGACAGTGCAGTTAGATGAAACATGTTTTTATACTAGTTGGTAATAGTTGACATTAATGTAAGTCCCCAGT